AAACCCTAAACCCCCCTAAGCCCCCTAAAACCTCAGCGCTTTTTTGCCGCTGCTCGGACTTTCCACGTGGAGGCCGCTTGGTGCAGCGCTGCCTTCCTGGCAAGGCCTGCCGTCCTCCAGGCGCATGAAACCACGGGGTTCCGAATAGGGTTTAAAGTTTAGGGTTAAGGGTTTAGGGTTTAGGGTTTAGGGGTTTAGGGTTCAGGGTTTAGGGTTTAGAGAGGCCTAAATAGTACCATGATCGCCTTACAGTCACCCGACTTCCTGAAGGGGGTTTCAGGATTTTCGGATTTTGTTTGGGTCCCGTTTGGGTTTTGGGGTTTCGGGTTTAGGAAAGAAAGTGCACAGAGAGTCCAGTATACCCTTTTGTTACTAGCTTCTCCCTATCATTGCGGGTTTCTGTTTTGTGATCAAAGGCATCTTCCGTAGCTAGCACTTTCATGACGGCACTTAAATTTTCTGTGACTTGCAGGTACTTTGGGGATGAGTATTGAGAGAAACTTCCCACATCACAGAGGGCCCGAAGGGACTCGCAGAAGAAGTTCACTTGAAAGCCCTTATGTCTGCTTTAGCTACGCTTTTTTTGCGTCTGCAAGGCATGGTTGTTTTTTTTTGTCGCGGAGCATGCTATGGATCTCGAGGAGAAGATGTTCTGATGCCTTGCGACCAGCTCTAGCATACGATAACATGGACTTGTAGAGCACACAGCATACTGCATACTGCGCTGCATCATGGTGTTCAGTAATCTCAAGAGAGAGCTATGCCCTTACGGACTCACCGAACAGGCCAGCAGTCACCAGCCGTTTTCAAGGTGATGCGCTGTGGCCGTTTGCGAACTTGCTTTGCATGGCTGATCCTGTTGCCCAGCGCTGCCTCTTCTGACCGGGAAGAGCCTAGGTGGCACTTTGGCCCAAAGCTTTTTTGAATTCCTTCTATGGTTCCGACAGAGGGGCCTCTTCATAAATGCTCTTAAGGGTTCCCAAAACTACGACTTGAGGAACTCCCGGATGCTGAATGCCAAGTTCCGGCTGTAAACCTCTTGCAAGCACGACTTGATCAGACTTTGTCGATTCAAGATGTGCAGAAGCCATGGGACGTGCACATGTACCTTGTCGGTACCACCCACAAAGCCGGCACATCGCTGCTCATGCAGGTGATGGGCGGCGCGTTCCGATCTCTGGGGGCCACCTACTCGTGCCAAGTTATGCCGAATGTTTGGGGGGAGTTGGTCACAGAGGATGGCAACCACACTTGTGCTGACAGTCCAGATGCCAAGATCCGCTTCTTAGCAGTAGACTAGGCAACCTTCTATACTATACTATACTATACTATACTATACTATATACTATATACTATACTATACTATACTATACTATACTATACTATACTATACTATACTATACTATACTATACTATACTGTTCTATACTTTTCTGTACTTTTTCTATACTCTTCTATACTATACGCTAATATATTGTATGTACTTTGAACCTGTTTTGGGGCACAAGAATCCCTCTAATTTCCAACTGTTGGCCTTTAGTTCTCCGGGGATGCTGGACAAGTAAGGCTTTGACATAGACGTGACCCAGGAAAGCCTTGAGACTGTTCGAGAGCTCTCTGGCCCAGGGGGGATGAGGGCCGTGATGAGCGTCCGGGACCCAGCCGCCATGCTGGCTTCTGCCTACTGCTACCACCATCGTGGGGAGGACTGAGTGGCTGAATGCGTACACTTTACACTTTTTCGGGATAATATTGAAAAACTGACAGTGTATTCACTTTTTTGGGCTTATGAACTCAGCAACTAAGAGGAGTATGACTTGTGGCCGTACCCGGAGATCACATCCATGGGTCCGGCTGAGGGGATGCGGCTGCTGTCCGGGGAGCTGCTGCGAATCTTCGGGCACATGACAGAGGCCTTCGAGGCGAGACAGAGCCTTAGCAGCTGAGTAGGTAACCTTTTTGGCCTTTTTGGGGCTTAGATATTCCTACCATAAAGTGGGTTTAGGGTTTAGGAAATAGTAGCTGGGTAGGTAACCTTTAACCTTTTTTGGGCTTATGTAATCCTACCATAATTGAAAGGCTAACCTTTTTTTGGGCTAGGGTACTCGGCCCCTAAGGAACGATACCTTTGTGGTGCGCTATGAGAACATCACCCGGTCTTCCGAGGACTTCGACTGCATCTTGCGGGAGATGATGGCTTTCCTTTTCGATGGTCTGATCACACCTGAAGAGCATGAGCACATACTGGCTCAAGCGCAAGAGGCGGATCTCAACAGGAGGACTGACACCAACTCGACCAAAGACCAATATCGTGCCGAGCACACCAACGACGAAGAGTGCGAGAAGACAGCAATGTTGGTACTCCCGTCGCTGGTGGATATCTATGCCAATATCACGAAGCTTCAGCGCCGCTTGCACTATGCTTGATCTTGCCGGGCTTCAGGCTCATCGACGGCTGTTTTAATGATAGCTGCAAGGGGCAGAACCAAAACGTGCGGCAGTGGCACAGCGCATCTTCCGGGCAATGCCAGTCTGATACCGAGTTTATGCAAGGCAGGACCACCATTTGCTACAGTTGCAATCTCTTACTGGTTTCCTCTACGCCATAGTTATAGTCTGCTGTCCACTATCTTCAGGATACTGCGCAGCCCGACGTCCACAAAGACGACAGCACAAGTCTTGCATTGCATGCTCCAGCATCAAAAACCGATTGAATCAACGCAGCCCCGAAACCCCTAAACCCTCACCCCAAACCCTAAACCCTAACTGGCAACTACATCATCATTTTGGGGTTTAGGGTTTAAGTTTAAGGTTCGGGGGTTCAGGGTTTAGGGTCACTACTTGAATGCTTTTTTGAAGTATCAGCCTCGTACGTAGGTTTAGTAAGAGAGGGTCGGCAGAGGATACTCGGGCGAACTTACGAAGTCAAACCGGTTGCCAAGTCCCGATGTCCTATGGGTAGTTTTCTAAATTAGGGTCCCTTTTAGGGTCCTTGTTTATAAGAGTGCGGTATGATCTTTGGGACCTGAACAAGGACCCTAATTTA